GGTTGCTCGGGCAAGCTGCAAGGACCGTGCGTGAGTTTGGTAAGTGACCTCTCATTTTAGGCATGCTGGGCGTCTGGTTGGGACCCTGCAGCCCTCCTCTTCCGCGTTCGTCCTTGAACCCCGGTTTTGTTCCCTGGTAAAAGTAGTGGAAGCTCGTGTCGGGAAGGCAGGCCGTGCGGTGAGTTCTGGAAGCAGTTTTTAGAAGCACGTGCAACTCCTTAAGGGACTCTTTGGTGCACTGCGGCATGGTCGCCAGCTGAGTAATTGGCTTAATGTAAAGCACCCCCAGTTTAATTTGTGATGGAAAAGCTACGCTGTCATTTTCCTTGTCCTTTAAGGCAGTTGTGGCCGTGATGTGTGCAGGTGTGGCTGAGATAAGGTCTGAAATTTGTTAAGTGTGTTTTGTTCTTGATAGTTGGATATTGCTGTTGCTGAGGTTTTGGGCTTGATAACTTTGGCACATCCTTAGTTCAATTTCAGACAATAATAAAAAGACGCTTGGCTAAGGATAAATTTGTTCTGAACTCTTAAGTATATGACAAATTAATAATACGTTCATAATAATACGTACTAAACTGAGGTGTAAAGAACTGAGTAGGTTGTTAAAGCTGTGCTTCTGTTACCAAGCAACATCACTGTAAACAAGTCTAATTTCAACTACAACACAATTAAATGTGGCCTATTAATCTGAGTTCAAAGTTCTCCAAATGTATGCTTTTAGCCTTATAGGTGGTTACATTTCTCATCTTTCGTATTCAGATTTGATTTCAAACCACTTTAATTAGAATTAATAGAATGCTTTGATTTTTCTATGTCACACATGACACTTTGGAGAGTTGCAAATGGATTTGAGTTGCTCTTTGGTTCTTACTTATTCCAGAGTATGATGGGTATTTGTCTTTGAGTATTTCTTTTCTAATAAGATAAAGTATGCAGACTATATTTAGTAATATTCTCAAATAATAGGATGATAGCAATTTGGAGTTACAACATTTGAGAGTTTACAGAACATACTTTTTTTTTTGAGACAGGGTTTCTCTGTAGCTTTGGAGTCTTGGTATTGTTGTAGGCTCACTTTCCACTTGTTGAACCCTTAATGATATAACTTGTATGGTAAATTAAATTTTTTATTTAATTTACTTTCTTACATGGTCTGTTAGGTGGGGAAAGCGATTAAGACAGGGTCTAGCTTTGTAGCGCAGGCTTACTTTGAATTGACAGTTTCTCTGCCTCAGCCTGTCATGGTGGAAGCTTTGCCCCTGTCCCTGGCATCTGTATACCCAAAGAGTCTAGAATGTCATGGTGGAGGCTTCACCCCAGATCCTGGCATCCATATACCCAAAGAGTCTCCCTGGAAGTTCCACTAGGATGACACTGTAACAGGTACTTGTGAGTAGGAACTGAGGCTGCCTAGGAATTGACATAGGCCTTGTTATGCTAGTAGGCACTACAAGCATGAGATAAGAAGAGTGACCCCTTTTAGCTAGTAGGAAGTCCTGGAAGGGACGCTGGCTTTTGTCTAAATGCCAGACTTTGGGAAAAGGAATTTCTTGGGTCCTAACAGGAACACAGGCCTGAATGACTGGCTTAAATGATCTTTTTGTTGTTGTTTGTTTCTGCATTGTGTATGTGTGTCCCCTGTTTTAAATTGAAACAGGGTCTTATACTGTAGCTCAGGCTGATTTGGAACTATGTCTTTCATTGACTTCGAACACCTGGCAAATCCTTGTGGCTCAGTCTCCTCAGTGTTGGGACTGCATGTATGAGCCACCATCCCTGACAGTTGATGTCTTTAAATTCAAACTATTAGTTTGGTGGTTTGAATGTAATTGGCCCCTCTATAAGCTTATAGGGAGTGGTACTATTAGGAGGTGTTGTTTTGTTGGAGTAAGGTGTAACCTTGGAGGAAGTGTGTCACTGGGGTAGGGCTTTGAGATTTCCTTTGCTCAAGCTTTGCTCAGTGTGACAGACTACTTTCTGTTGCCTGCAAGATGTAGGACTCCCAGCTCCTTCTCTAGCACCATTTCTGCCTGCATGCTGCCATGTCCCACTATGATGATAATGGACTGAACCTTTGAGCTGTAAGTCACCCCAATTAAATGTTTTCCTTTATAAGAGTTGCTGTGGTCATGGTGTCTTTTTATAAGAGTTGCTGTGGTCATGGTGTCTCTTAACAGCAATAGAAACCCTAACTAATACAATTAGTGATAAGAATTGGAACATCAGGATTATACACCCTAACTTAACCTGTGTAGGTTTCATTTTAGTTCTCACTTCCTGTGTCCTACAATGCTGATGTTGAAGTAATGAGCCATTGAGGAATTGGGTAAGACAGAGGGAAAAAGAAAAAAAACAAAAAACAACCAAGAATGATTCATATTGTGTGATGTATTAGTAACTGGAAGTCAGCATTATATCAGGGAATGTTTTAATTTAAGAAGTGTAGAAGAATGAAATCCTAAGAGAAAGATTAGTGGTTTGTCATATATAATGTATTAGGTTCAATATGTACTTGTCTTATATTGTTAAACCCATGGGAATATGTGTTTATATAAGAAATCTACCAACTGGGTTCTTTCAGAATATACTCACTTTTTGCTGTATGTGTATGCACACGTGTGTGGAGGCCTGATGGAGGGTGTCTGATTCACTATTGCTGAAGTTATTGGCAGTTGTGAGCCCACCTATGTAGGTGTTGAGATGTCTGGTCCTCTGTAAGAGCAGCAAGCCCTCTTTAACTGCTGAGCCATCTGTCCAGTCCCTCCTCACCATATCTGAGTTCTTGATTTAAAATGACTTCTTCAAAATTATCCCTCCTTGGCCTTCCAAGCTCATATTCATTATGGAAAAGGTGCCTTTGTCCAACTTGTTTTTTGTTTTTTTCCCCTTTTCATTATCCTTTAAATCTGCTTTCCCCTTCCTGTATCAGTCTTAATCTTAATCTACCTTGCCTGGATTTCTTTAAAAAAAAAATCTTAAATTATGCCTTTTCTATAAGGTTCAATTTCACCATGACTTTTGAAATTCTACAGTATGTATTTGTGAATTCTGTTTATTTAATTCTTAGACTTTATGGTCTGTTACCTGTTTTTTCTTCTTGACTAGATTAACCTCTTCCATAAACATTCTTGGTTTTTTTCTAAACAGAAGTTATTAAGGGATGTTTCTTGGATGACAGATGTTCATTTGTACCCCCAACCCTTCCTATGATATAGTAAAAGTCAGAACATGGTTGGGAAATGTAGGAAGGGCAGCCATAAACCACAAGAATGGGACATCATTGGAATCAGAAGGAAAGGTTTTGTTCCTAGAAAGTGTGAATGAATATTTGAGAATTTCCCATGACGTCAGCATCACTAAGAACTCCCTCAGGAATTCTGGCTCTACTCCCACATGGGCTTGGTGAGTTTGGACAATTTCTTGGTTCCTCTTTAGAAGAACCTTAGTGTTAAAAATATGAACTCTTAAAAGTGCTGGCCACTCGTGGTGCATGTCTATAATCCAAACACTGGGGAGGCAGAGACAGGTGGATCCCCTTGAGTTCAAGGCCATCTTGTTCTACAGAGGGAGTTCCTCTTATATCTTCCTGTTTTCTTCTCATCTCATTCCACTCCTTTCCATCCTACTTTTTGCACAGACAACATGTAATTTATGAAACTCTGTCAGTACTTTCATCTGCTTCTCCTAAATTAGCAATCCTCTGAAGTTCATTACAGGTCTATGTTCTGTCAGACTACCCTTTCTGGATAATGGAAAGATCACTGACTGTCAAATCTAGTACTATTTCTTTTGTGTTTGAACAGTATTGTAGGAGGAGAGAAATCAAGGAAGCTAGAAAATGCTCACTTGTTGCTTTCTGTATATTAGGACTTTAAAGAACTTTAAAGAATTAAAATTTAGAGGTTGAAGGAACCTAAAATCTGATCTTTCCTTTTAGGAAAATACTTGTCATTCTCAAAATATGTCTTTAAAATTTAGGTAATTTTAACAAGCTTGTCAAAAATCCATATATGATGTTTATAGCAAAGAGTGTAGGTGAATGTATAGAGGTGAAATTGAGTATTGGAATATTTTTATAAATCTTGGCTTAAATTTTAAGTGAGCTTGCCAGCCTAGCTTCTCAGACGTTGCCCAGTAACACAGTTGCAGTAAAACATAGCAACCACTGAAAACTATAGGGATTTTCAGGGTGCAGTCCTATTTCTGGTATTCATTTATATCTTTCTTACCTACATTACATTGTATTTTAAAGCAGATACAGTGTTAAAGAGCATGCAGTATGTGGCTTTGAGTATATTTTTCAGGGTGCTGTCATAACTTCTTGTGTGCTATTTTTCACAGAGATGCATTATAAATGTTTTTGAATCATACTGTATATAAAGGATATCTGAAAAGACTGGATCAACCAAAAGTCTGTAGAAAAGCTATAAGTAATTATTAATCTCAGCCTTCTCTACAGCTTGGGTATTGCTAGCTAAAACTGCAGTGAAGTTGGAATACGCTTTTATTTTGACTTCTGTAGCTACATGGAAACTTTAGACCAGTAAACATAATTTTATAACTCTGTGATTGTGTGAGAAGAGAATCAGAGATTCAGAAGACCAGCCTGAATGTGTTGCTTAGTTTTGTCAACTTGACAAAAGCTAGAGTCA